TACCAGTATGATTGACAGTATTTCCTGTAATTTCATTTATAATTAGCTCAGCACTTGTAGCGAGACCAAATTTCACACCACTGAGGCAGCTCATGCAATGGCACTGAAACCAATCGATGTTCATCTGACTTTAAATCGGGTCCAGAAAAAGATTTGCTTGATCCCTATCCCTTCTGCAAGGTGGTTCAGTATGAGAACTGTGAAACCTCGTATCACACACAAAATGCACATGAGAAGGGCAGGAATCCTTTCTCTCCAATATGCTCCATTAATCTTTCTCTCTCTGAACTTCACATTAGCAAGACAGTGATACGAAGGTTTAAACGGCTCCTGCTAAAGTTAATTAAAATACAGAAAAGTAATTACTAATATCTGAACTATGTGGCTTCATTTGGATTGCTAATGGCATGGGCACAAGGGGAGTGAGGCAGAGAAGGGAAACTGATAGCCCACAGAATTTGGGTCACATGTGGCTCATCAAACATTTGATGTGAGCCTGAATTTGAAGTGTGGAAAAATACTGGAGGAACCTATGAAGTTAATCAGTTTGAGAGCAGCACAGAGCTGACTGAAAAACTCCCTGGAACGTGCCAGCAGTGTGCCACAACCTGGGAATGGCTATCCACTCCATTTACATCTATATCAGGGAGCTGCCACAGAGCCTCCAGACCCTCCTCATTACTTGGGCTACAGAATGGGCAATGAGGAAAAAAAACAGAGATATTTTTAACCTCAACAGGAGTGGCAAATGCTTTTAGAGCACACCCCAGATGTAGATGATCTTGACAAATTAGGAAAGAATCTCTAGGTGAAAAATCTAGTGTAAGATTAGAAAATAGAGACATCTAGAACACTCCAGATCCAGGCTGCCCAACTCAACAAGATCTTCACAAACTGGGAAAGCAATATGAAGAAAAATCTAGCAGAGAGAGCTAGCTAGCTTGATTTCAGACAATGATATCTAGCCAGTTTAAATCAGTTTTAAACTGAATTACTTTTTTAAAAAGGAGTCTAGGGAAACTGAAGAGTACAGTAGATAGCATGAGGAGTTGCAAGAGTTTTAGAAATCCTAGGCTTTGCCTAGTGTAGGGAAAGATAAAGTGAAGGAGAACATCACACCCAGTGAGCACCTGCTTGCCACGTCCACCAGGAGAGGGCAACTGTCTGCTTTTCAGCAAATGAATATTGCAAAGAAGTTTGCACAGAAATACCAATTCCTACCCCCCACCAGCCAAACTAAGCACAATTACAGACGATTGCTGAACACACATACTTTAAACCCAGGTTAAACAGATGTCTCTTTACTTGAAGTGTTTCAGTGGAAGGGTGGGACCAACCATTTAGCAAGGGCATGGTGCCTTTAGTGCTGCTTCACTTACTTAAGGTACAAGCAATGACCATTTTTTGGGTTCTCTGGAGAAAGAAGATCAAGAAGTTGGAGGATACAACATAGCAGCAACAGACACAGTAATCAAATGCACATCTCCTTCAGTGACATTCACACAATGACATGGCAGCAGACTGCAAGCCTGCAATGGCATCTTCCTTCTTGCATTGCACAATTACACCACGACCACGGACTCCTAATGGGTAATGACTTCTTTCTTAAATAAATAATGCAAATTTAGTAGCCAAAGGCATCCGACTTTTTCAGAACCACTGAGAAATACCATTTTGTAAATGAGAGATCACAATCTTGCTATCTACTCAACGGAAGTTTCTCTGGTAACTAAGTTAAATATTTCCAAAACAATTCTCTCTAAATATGGGTAGTACAATTTATTGGTGGTGTTTTCAAATCAGACAAAATAAGCAGCAGTGCAATAGTCAGATACTGTTGTGCACAACACAGGGGATTTAATATGGAAAAAGAGAGAGTGTATATCAGTAACAGTAAAATAGGAATGATATTGCCATGATTCATCAACCTAAGATTTCCAACTAGCATTTACAATGGGCCTGATGCTAAAACCTGCAGACCTTTTTTTGGAAAGTGCTTCTGAAATACTCTGAAGTATGCTTTTTATAAATTGCACAGCATTTTAAAAAACACACTGCCCTTATAAGGCCTTAAGGCACAAAATTTCCAGTTACTATAAAATCCAGCTTACAAATGTAAAACCATATCAAGAGGAACAAAATTAGCAAAATATTTAGAAGTTTTCACTGATAACACATTTGTGAGTGTGATATCTTGATTTTCAGCAGTTTTTTTACAAATTGGTACTTTAATGAATACCACCTGCACTGCTCATGTTCTCTGAAGAATCAGGTTCTAGAAAGCACCAAAAAAAGGCTCATGAAGCTTTGCCATGGTGTGTAAGTGGCTTGAAACACGGCAATGCAGCATGAGAACGTGGCCTGGTATCCTCACATGGTGGCTTCTGGATTATACTCTAGACACAGCATCTTCTCTAGAATAATCAGTGAAATAAGCCACTGAATTTCGTATTATATAGTGCAAAAAGGACCCACTTCAATGGGATTAAGAACAACTCCCTGAAATTCTCCCAGAACCAAGAGAACTGGTCCAAGTGACACAATCTCTCATTCTCCCTCCACCCACACAGGAGGATGTCCTTCCTTGTGGGCTGAAAATTCTGCATAGGGATCAAGAACTACAGAAGATAGGAGCCAAAACACTCTGCATTGATCCAGCTTGTGGATCTAAACTCTACATTCTACTGTAAAAATGTAACTTCTCTCCCTCTCAGGTGATGCCAGGTGCCTGCCCAGTAAAATGGTGAGGGTCACATTGGTACTTCAGATAAATCACCCAGAGAAGCAAAGTGATCTCCCTCAGGTTTTCAAGATGTTCAGACAGGTGAGGTTTCAAAATTAAACCTTACCAGGCATATTACCAGAAAGCACTTCTATACCTGAATGCAGCTGAAGGTCTTCCAAGATAAAAGTGCTTCAGCTGCTGACATATCACCTGGCAGCTCTCCATCCATCCAGTTCCTCCTCCCTTGGCAGGGAGGAATGGTAGGAAAAGGAACGAACAGTGCCCTTGATACAAACACATCTGGAAAAATCTCCCTTTAGATATAGACTGCCATTCCAAATGACCACCCTGAATGGCAAAACCCTGCATGCTTTCGTGGGCAGAAGGATCAAAGCTGGATCTATAGGAACAATAAAAAATTACTGTGTTTATTCAAGATAATAGGTAGTGAAAAAACCCTCGCTGGTTCACACCTTAAAAGGTGCTGATCATCTGCTCAGACTGCCTGCCAGAGGAGGTTACTGAGAATGCAAAGCTTAAGCTTTCTCCTGCTGCTGAAGTAATTAAAAATGTAAAATTATTAAAATTATCTGACATTTCCTTAGCCAAAATCACTCCTTGTTCAAATATAACAAGGCCCTTTCATCATCAGACTACAAAAATGGGGTTTGTTCCACATCATTATAAGGGTTAAAAAGCACCATAGTATTGCCTTTACTGCTGCAAACAGCTCCCACTGGCAGATCTCTGCCAGCATAATCTGTTACAAGATGAGAAAGTGCTTCTGAATAACAACCACTTTTTCAGCAATGTGGATTTCCATGCAGAAACCATGGCATGTGTGAGAGAAAGGGCAGCAGATAATGAGATTTTGCTGACGTTTCATAATCACAAGGACAGACCCAGGCACAAGTGAGAGAGAGCACTCGATTCTCTTGTAGGGGCAAGATGTGATGCACAGGTCGTTCTGTCTGCTGCCACTACCCTGCATCGATGCTTGGCTGTCTCCTTTTCCTGCTCTCAGTCCCTCAGGAGCTGCTCCAGTCACATCAGTCTGGCCAATACGTCACCCTGTCTACCAGCAGCCCAAGTGCAGCACATCCCGAAATCAGGGCACGCGGTCAAACATGCCCAATCGGTAGGCACACTTGTCTGAAGGGAACAGGGTTACCAGGCCACAGATTGCAGAATCTAGGTGGTAGGGATGATCCATTATTCCTCGAAGAAGGAAAAAAAAACAGGTGAGTCTCTGTCATCATTTCCCTCTCTCAGCATAATGGTATCACCTTCCGCCGGGCTCGGATATTGGCAGGAGCAGCGTGTAACGTCTGTGGCTGTTGCCAAAACACATCTCGGGGCTGTCCAGCCATCTCTGTAGCACAGCAATCAATTGTGCTTGCTGCAGCAGCCCATCTGCTCTGCTCCCTCTGTAGCACAGTAACACACGCTGTGCCCACGCTGCTGCGGAGCTCACCGGGGCACGGCAGTGCAGGGCAGCCCCGGCCACGCTGACAGCCTCACCCTGCCCACAGAAACTAAACCATCGGGCATTTCTCCTCCCTATACAGCAAGCAGCATATATAAAAATACATTGGAAGACTGACACAGATGAAAGGGAAACCTAAACCTAAAATACGTGTATTGGTGATGTGCTGCATCTATGATGTCATGCACATATAGCATTATACCGGCAATTCCACTTAAGTGTTCATTTCCTACATAATCTGTTTAATTTAGCTGCACTGAATGACATGCATATTGTAATCTAGCATCAAGCACTGCCTCCCATTCACTCCCCACACAGCTACAAACACGGAACATTCACACAACTAGTGCTCTGGTACAGTACATGACCGAACACAAAACATAATCAGCAATCCTCCCCCAGCCCAGGCACACCAGCCAGCCCTTACACTTAGCACCTACAGAAAGCACACAAAGAACACACCCCACAAACAACATCTCTGCCACCTCCCTCCTGTAAATCTCCCCAAGTTCAAGCAGAGGCGATGGAGAAGGCAGCACAGGCAAGCAGCACCCGCAGCCCCATCCCTCAGCACCCCACCATCAGCTCCATCATGCTGACACAATTACACATGCCACTGTGTGGAATATAAAACATCCCACCACTGCAGACAGATGTTAGCACACACACACACACACACACACACACACCCCTTCTCACACTGCTATTTACCCCAGAAAACCTGCTGCACACTCTCAACACAGAAATAAATTCTCACATACACCTCCCCAGTATTTGGTGCCTGCTAACCTGTGTGTCAAATCCATTTTCTACCGAGCTACTCTTCCTTGCTGGGAGGCCATCTCCTGCGTTTTCTTGTCCATTGGAAGATTTGAGAGGAATCTGGCTGGAATACAATGGCTTCGTCACCTCCACCTTGTTCCCAAACTTCAGGTAACAGGGCTGTGGGATGGTCCTGGCCGTTGGGACATGCAGGATTGGAGCAGCGCTGTGTACGGGTTTAGGTAGTCCCGATTTCATTTTGGAGGCTACCAGGATGGCTGGCATTTTCTCTTTCTGCTTTCCTAACACGTTTCTGTCAGCAGCAGCAACAGCAGAGACAGCAGGCAGGGAGAGAGAAAATGACACGCCGGGGAAGCTGTTCTACTCTAAAGCAGCCTAGTTACAGCAGAGATCTCCAAAATCAGCTTATAATTTAAAATCAACAATAAAACCAATTAAAAATAAAAAGTTTTTTTAAAAGGGAAAGGAGAAAAGAAAAAAAGAAAAAAAAAAAAAAA